GCGAATAAAAGCGTTCCCGGTCTACGTCGAAATCAGCAGATCGAGACGATTTAAATAATCGACAAATGGACACTCAAAAATTTCGTAAGGGAGGCAGTGAAGCGAAAAACTTCCACTTTTCATTGTTATGCCACCTAAACTTACATTCTATGAATCCTGAATCAGATTAGAAATCCTTTTGTTCTTCGAGCCACAAAGGAAGAAAGTGCCCACTGGGCGTGTGACGGAAAACGAAATTTCATCAGAATTTCGATTACAAAAATTTTTATTCAAGAACTCGATTATTGTGTGTCACGGTGACCGGTGCAACCGGCAGGTGCTTCTGGACTCCTTCACGTGTGTCCAAGTCCTCACCTGCCCGCATTAACCAATCGCGGCACCCCATACCTTTCTTAATCTAGACCCGAGATCGATTCGTATTACAATCATAAAAAAAGGCCGAACTCGCGGGGCAGCTGACGAAAAAAAAATTATTTTTAAATTTGGGGCAGAGTTATAAATTTTATATTTAATTTAAATTCAAGACGTGCCGTCTCGTTGACTGTGTTCCTAACTCATCTCGGCTCTAATTTAAATTATAAACTCAGTTAAGCCATGATTGTATAACAAAGCTCGGCAAATGCGCACTAATAAACAATTTTTTTCCGCTCGCATTTTTTTTCGTTAAACTTATTGATAAAAGTTACTTGGTTCTCTCAAGAGGCGGACCGACGCTAACTTTACGTAAAAGTTTCTGCCATTTCGCGTCGACTGAAGTTTTAGATCATTTGTATACATAAATAATAAATAGGTTTTTTTTCGACATTAACAGGAATTATATAATAATAATATGCGAGTGGTGTCCGCCAAATTCCTACAGAAACGTTCCTCGCCAGGTGTTACCATTACCAGTTTTTTTAAACTCGTCAAGCTGTTCGAGGTAGAAATTGCAAATTTTCTTTTTACACGTAGGTGCTAGGTGATGTGGTTCAAGAAGATCTGGTGTTTCTTCCGATTTAGATCGATTATTCCGAAAGACGATTGACCTAACAGTACTACAGTACTTGCTAAGAATTTTGTATAAAGCACTTCCTTGGATTATTTGAACCCGAATTTTGTTTCTCCAGTTTAGATTTTTTATGCAACTTACAATACGAGTATAACTTCTTATCAGTCTTGGATTCTAGCCACGAAAAAAGGACCAGCAAAACAAAACCTAGTATATGTATATATAGATATAAGAAATAAATCAACTAAAACTAAGGAAACAACATGCGAAAAAAAGAAACACAAAATCTTACATGTTAACAGGTACAATGAAATATCAACAAATCAAGACAGTGACATAATAAATACAAAATGACGAGCAAGATGCATCAATTTAGTACTACAAGCATCTACGGCTAATTAGATAGGTACTTCCTCCACGGTATAAACAGTTAATTGAATTGTATAGAGCAATAGATACTAGGTATTCTTCTCTCTTATGAATACACAAATAAATACTTAATAATACAAACAATGATTTATTTCTAAGTGGCGATAAACAAAACAGCACCTTAAAAAAACAAAATAAAAACGTTAATGCACCCATAGGCGTGCAATCGAAAAACAGTAACCCACTCCCACTTTCTATCAAACTTCGGCCCCAAGAGAATTCCTATTCCGGCAACTGCGCAGAACGATGGAAGTCGAAGGCATTTTCGCAGTAGCTGTATACAGGGTCTTATCGGATTTGCCGTCATACCTCTTTTTCTTACGGTAAGTGTGTCGAACTTGTTCGAAATTCGTATCTGAATCGTAAATTATTTTGTAATTTAATCAAATCCTGTGGCGTTCTCTACTGTATTGGATGATCAAAGGTATCATTTCATCCGTTCAGCAGATCATTCATGCCCATAAACAAATTGGTACGATATGTAAAATGAACTTACGGCAACAGATCCACTACCATTAAATATTGTAACTCACTTTAGACATAACTGCCCGTATTCGGTCTTAGTGGGTAATATGCTTCAATTAAATAGCCACAATTTTCTTTTCTCTTTGACGTCATATCTGCAACATGTATTTTTATGGAGACAAATACCTCTGGTTCCACCGTCGTGTACCAAACATTCTGGTGTACCCAATCTGTTTGGAAAGGAAATCGAACTTATGGTCTTTTTGGTGCTTAGGGTGTAATGTTTAATCCAATTGTGTAATCTGCCATTCTGTAAATGAGATCGAGATCAATTGATCATATTTTATTAAAAAGTAGCAGTCCCGGCGAACTTCGTACCGACATTAGGAAATGTCATTTTTCCCCGTTCTCGCTTTCGGAGTGCACCTTAACGCCTTCAAAGAAACATATGTTCTAAATGTCAAGTCTCTTTTCAACTTTAAAACATAAAATCCTGTTATTTTTCCGTTCCCGTTCCCCTAGGAATTTCGGATAGTGTTTGACTAAATCAAAAACCTTCGCGGGTACCTATACGTAATTGATACGTTTAACCGTCTAATTTTTCGCCTCTCACCTGAAGTCGACGGTATGGATTCTTCTAGAGCTGTAGTAGATCCCGTCTTTCCGTAGGTACAATTTTTTAGAAATTATCTTTTATACAAATCTTACCCTGATAATAATAATAATAATAGATAATAATATTTAATTGACTGTAAAATATGCTTACAAACAATATAAATAAATATAAGAAACAGTAAACGTCTACAAACTTCACACAAATGTACCGAATTACATGGCATATCAAGCACAACAACAAAATAATTTAAAACAAATTTGGTACACATTTTCCTAGACATAAAAGGAAGAGCTGAAAAGCTTTTGGGGAGAATCGCGCATGCACAAAAGCATCAAACTCTCATTTCCTTCTAAACGACCCTCATCTTCAATTACACAGTATTTAGTACAACAGTGACTCTATAGAGACGGTGTGACCATACATTGGTGTAATTTTATATTGCTAGTTGGGAAATCCGCCATGTTTTAACCAAGTACGATGGATTGCTATTTGCTAGAAATTAATCTGGATGAAGTCACCTTGCTGGAATCAACTGTGGCCACACTGTCTTCATACACTCACTGTATTTAGTACCACATTTTCGAGGCTCGTATTTAGCAGAGAGCACCTCTAGCTTGCATCTTGGAAACAAACCAATATAAAGAAATTCATTAAATGAACCTACTATAAATTAACCCTGAAAAATGGTTTCAGTTCCAAAAGGTGATATGAGTAAGTTGTTTATATTTATTGATGCTTGCAAGAGGAGCAGGCGTAGGCTGTAGAGGCTGCAAACTAAAACAAAATTACGCAAACTCAATGAAAGCAACGAAATTCAAATTAATTAGCGGTGTCTACGGAAAATCAAATGTAGGAAAGCGAAACAATATTCTCCATTATAATTAATGGAACATAAAGTAGAAAAAAAACTTACATTGCTAAACGAAACGGTAGAAACTACTATGCAAGATAAAGCAAAAGCTATAGATACGGTGCGGTTGTAAAAGGAAAAATTAAACGGTATGAATGCAAAATAAATTTACGGTACATACAAATGTAACTAGCAAAACACCAAAGGCAAAAGATCACCTTTAAACAACGGCTTTATTTTTTATCAAATTCGGCCATGCAATGGAGGGAACGCCGATTTCCCCAACCAGCACAGTATATTCGGATAAGAACGTCCAAAAATGAAAACGTCTTTAATTAATTGGGCGGCCTGTGGACGTTCTAAAAATCTGTAATTGGTGTTCAAATTCAAAATATTAAGAGCGCTTCTTTTGAGACCCCCCGACTTAATCTGATGCTGTTTATTGCACTCATTAGATTACCTACTGGCGCTACCGCTAATTGCACCTACTTTATTTGCCGAATAATATTTCTAAATTCATAATTCTAATTTACACTCATTGTCTCTTGAAATTTCTCAGGTCAGGCTTAAAGGTCCCTTATCAACTGATACTGCAGTTTTAATGCTCATTTAAAATTACCATAGGAAACTCAAACTTCTAATAAATAACAAGGACTTTCGGCTACAACACAGATCATTGATATATCTCGATGGGAACGGTTGCAAACTTTTATTTACGGTAACGGCAGTTGATACACAACTCTAACTCTAGCAATTAAATCAATTTCCAATTTTCTACTATATAATATTAACCATTTTGAATATGTATACAAAAACAGGTTGTAGCATCATAAACAAAACTAAAATCAATGTAGGTACATTAAAATTACATTAAACCTGTACCTATGCATATATGGTCTTAAATATTGGATTTTAGTAAACATTAGACTTCGCCGCAAATATGTTTACAAATTATTTCGCATTCGCTTCTGGGCATTGTGGCAAACTTTAGGGGAGATATGTTAAATCTGTTCCGATTTGAAAATCGATCACTAAACAGCCAAATCGTATATTCCATTCGGTATTTAAATGAGTTTGAAAATATGCAATCCCTCAATGTAAACATAGAAGTAATTGAATTATGAAATTCATGTTGAAAACACATTACCATTTTCATACGTCTATAGATAAATCGATTTAGTACACGTTTTCTACATCCATTTCCGGTGGTTTTGTTTGCATTTTCGAATATATTTGATTCAGTAATTTCTATTGCGGGTTAGTTTTGAGAAACTAATTTAAAAAACATTAGGTCAGAAACGTTAATTAGGAAAAGGGTTTTACCTGTGGGTGACTTAAATGTTAAAAAAATGTGTAGAGATAGTTTCGTGATATCAATGCCTGTAGTTTATTTTACCTGCCTTATATGTAATTAACCCCAAGGTCTCCTAAGAGGGAGTTCCTCACATATGCTCCTTCACGCTACCAAGCGGCACCTATATAACGAAAATGCAAATGTAAGCTAAATGGTTTACGTGTTTTATAATCAAATTCCCTGTCTATCTTTAAAATTAATCTCGCTGTACGCACATTTCGTTCACATAGAATATAAAGTGGATTTCACCAGAAATTCGTTATAAATTCCTTCAAGCTAAATTTCTTATTTGTTTCAGCTGAAAGCTACGCAATTGGAATGGTCGTACAACTGGAAGAAGATTAACGAAAACAAATCCATACCGCTCCTTTTGGATGATACTCCCCGTTCTCCTCGACATCAGCGACTTCTCAAGAAACACGTCGTCGATTTGGAGAAGAATACGAGACAACTAAAGCGCACCAATGAAGATCTTCGTCTGCGAATTCTCAAACTCGAAGAGGAAGTCCGAATTTTGCAGCAACAAAAGCAGCCGATCCTCGAACGCATCGCCGGCAATGAAATCGACGATTATGTCAAGATGCACAAGCTTATCGAAATAACCGAAAACGCCGTTCCCGACCGTCCAACTTTCGAAACGCGTATCGCCAAAATCGAATTGGGCCAAAAATCTCACTCCGAGTCGATATTTAACCTAACCAGGCAGTTTCTGAACTTCGACAAGCTACACATGTCGATGCTCGAGCTGTTGGAGAACGTCGAAAGTTTGGAGAACAAGGTCGACAAGAACTTCCCAGAATTTCGAAAGGAAATATCGAAATTGGAGGTTCAAATGTCGGAACGAAACGGCGAGAGCGCGATACTGAAAGAGGACCAGGCCAACACGAGAAAATCCGTTAAAGCGATCGGCTCTAGTGTCTCAAACTTGAAAGACAAATTGGATTTTGAACAGACGCAATTAGTTGAATTACGGAAACATTTAAATAATTTGCAGAAGTCGTCGAGCGTGCAAACGTCAAAACTTCATGATCACATATTAAAGGTAAGATTTGCGAACGTTTTCCAATTAAATACCTTTTATGAGGAGTTTTAATTAAAACTCCCCGTTGATATTGAAAATCAATTTAAAATGTACTGCACGGTTAAGTAGGTACAGTTTTTTCTTCTTTGTCACAAATATTGATTTACCCCAGCTAGTTTAGCGCGTCGCTATATATTTAAAAAGGAAATTTGCTACTATTCCCTCACATTTCATCAAAAACATTGAGAAATACAAAGTGCGACGGTTGTATTGTGGTAATTTTCATCTTCAAAATGCGGTATGAATATAAATTAAATATTTGATGTTATATATTTGCATCAAATTCGTTTCTTTTAAGCGAATTAATTAAATTGTATTAATGTTGCCTTCGTATACGGATTTTATGCAAAATGATATAAAGTATTTAACATCCTGACAACTTTATTAAATTTTACAAGTATCCTTTGTGGTTTTACATTCACGCGTTGTCACTGCAACAAGATTACAAAATTTATTAGGGCGTATCCATTATTAGGTACCTACTACAATATATTTGCAACTCAGAGCTTCATTTCAACAAACTCACTGGGCCGTTGTGTATTTGAGTTCAAATTTAGCAACAGAAAAATGGTCACATCAAAACTAATAAGTAGGTACCTATAATGCTTATTTAAAGTAAGTAGTGGGAAATATAAGTAAAAGATTTGGACCAACAATGGCAAAATCATGACGCTTGGTCCAAATTAATGATAAAGGTCTCCAATCCCCAGCAACTTTGAAACGCGAAGCCGATATTTTAATGCTACTTTTCCTTATATTCACATTTTTCTTACAGGCCGAATCTTCCAACGTCGACCTTAACGCCACCAAATCGGCAATACACCTCGTCCAAGAATTGAAATCGTTCGAAAAAGAGTACAAGAGCATAATAAACAAGTTGCCACACGACTGTGGAGCGGTATCCGGACTAAACGGCGTTTACCTAATCTCGCCGGGTGACGGTGAGCCCATAATGGCGAGCTGTCAGGACGGATGGACGGTGATCCAGAAACGTTACGACGGAACGGTCGACTTCAACCGAAACTGGAACGAGTACTCGAACGGTTTCGGATCGGCTACCGGCGAGCACTGGCTGGGAAACAGGAACATTCACTATTTAACGAAAGATAATTGCACGAAGCTGATGGTTAATATGAAAGACATTTACGGAAAGTACTGGCAGGCGACCTACGACGACTTTAGGGTTGCCGATTTTAGTGGTGGTTTTAGAATGAGTGTCGATAGGTACAAGGGAAACGCGAGCGACGCGCTGGATTATCAAAATAAAATGGAATTTTCGACGATTGATAACGACCGCGACATATCCAACACGCACTGTGCCAGTAACTACGAGGGTGGCTGGTGGTTCTCCCACTGTCAGCATGCCAACTTGAACGGTCGTTATAATTTGGGCCTAACGTGGTTCGACAGTTCGAGGAACGAATGGATCGCCGTTGCGACGAGTGAAATGCGTGTTAAAAGAAGGGACACTTGTTGAGAGATGTTGATTGTTAAATGTTAATGAAATGCCAGTAATTACCAAAGAATGAACTAGTTCAGTAGTGTAGAGTAGCCACAATTTATTGCTTATTTGTTGTAAGTCCTCAAATGCACATTTCCTCTTTTTTGTAATGTAAAATGTATTTATTGTTTAGTGTTAACAATTATGACTGCCATATTGTGAGTGGAATGTGCACACTCATTTTTTTAATCTGAACCAAAATGTATATATGTGTTAGATTTATTATGTCATTACCATTAAGATAGTTTAATAATTTATTGTTTATTACCTACTATTTGTCATAGAAGACTAGTTTTGCACATATTTGTATGTAAATAACATTAAATTTATACCAATGATTAATTAGCATTTTAACTGTAAAAAAAATGTAATTATTATAAAAGAATGTTAAGTAAATTGTATATTTGTAATATACCGATCGTTGCAACTACTTACTCCACATCCAAAATCGAGTCCTCATGTCCAAGCATCAGGAAAAGTCAACCTCGCCAAATTAAAGAAGAGATAATCAAGAAGCCTATTTATCTTTCCGGACTGATACATGCTAAAGACCTTTATTATAATGTCCGGGCACAGCGGTATATTGAATAGATCAAACAATTACTTATACCAAAGAGTACCCATAGTGCACTCTTTGCTAGTACCCCAATCTTGGAACTGTTTGAAATTATGGATTCTACAGGCCACGTTCTATAAGAAAATTTTTTTTCCGGGTCAATCTGAGACAATTTTTTTTTTCGGGCTTCAGAAAAAGGCAGTGTATAACCTTCCTTTTTTTTACCAAAAATCGACACCACCAAAATTTCTAGGGAAAACACTTTTTCTTTTTAATTTTGGTGCATAGAATCCAAAACAATTCGTACTTTTTCGATCAGACTTCTCAATCAAAAGTTATAGACTAGAAACCAATTTCGAAAGAAAATTCAAAGGGCTGTAACTTTTGAACTAGTAGCAAAGAGTCCCAGTACTCTTTGCTACTAGTTCAAAAGTTACAGCTCTTTGAATTTTCTTTCGAAATTGGTTTCTAGTCTATAACTGTACTGGGACTCTGCTTATACTTAACGATCAAGTCATCTATAATAGTAAGGGTCCCTCACAGCCGGCACTGCAATCTTGACTTACCCTGTACTTACAGTTGCCAACTCTGGGGGAAAAACTTCGACCAAAGCCCTAACTTTCAAGTCGAAACAACGGACGTGTCGCGGCACTTTTTAATCTTGGTAGCAGTCGGCTAAGACCGGATGGTAGGAATAGCTTGTACGTTGTGTGATAGCTACTTGTATAGGACAGTTCTTTTAATGTGTTGGGACGTGACACATAATCTGGAAGAGTATTCAATGAAACACAGAATTTTGTGCGTAAGAAAAGACAAGAACAAATAAAATATATTACGCAAAAGGCGATAGCAGGAAAACCTTTCATGGACAAAAAACCTGGCATAACCCACACAAATACAAAATCAACTACGACAACAAAATGCAATAGAAACAAATCAAACATAGCAAACTAGACAATAGAAATCAGCTATCGAATTAAATGCACCAATTAAAGAAATTCATAAAAACAAAACACACGAGATATCATAAATGTGGTACAAGTGGAAAACATTAATCAGTGTAGTACCAAAACACATTAACGTATATGATCAATTGAGATAAAAAAACAACTCGTAAAATAATAAATTGCATGTACATAAAAAACATCAAAAGCATCGCGCTGTATTCCAAGCACCGACTTCCATTAATTTAACACGGAAAGTACAAGTGCCAAATGCAGTAAAACCCTCCTTTTCGTATCACTTATTCACCTCAGCGGGCCACGAGTAAGTAAGCAATATATACGGCGAACCATGCGACTGTATCGAGTACCTACTCCCTTCGCGGAATATAATTAAACGACTCATGCGAAGAAACATGAGATTAGAGAAATATATGCAGCTGATAATCGAACTGCATGCGGTAATCTCTGCAAGGAATATAAAAGCATAATTACATGCAGTATAGTATTACAAACAAACATATGATTCCGATAACGGTGCATAAACAATAGTTCGAAGTACGCCACGCTTCTTTATCAGTTTTATGCACAATGTAAATAATAACAAATTATGGCATGAAATTCAATGATTAATAATTAGTACAAGAAAGTTAAATAAAATCATTGCTATCGTATAATATTTTTCAAACAAAACAACAAAAATAAACACTAGACCCGACTTTAACTCTTGCCAAGCTTCGTTGTGTAAGATCCCTGTTCCCCGGCATCTGCGCAGATCAAAGTTGAAGATTTCATGGTTGCTGTATATACCTACGGAGCGTTTCATATTTTTCCAATACTGGGATTCTTTCAGTTGTGAGAGGTGTTGCCTAACCGAAACGGTACATTACCACAGCACTTACACCGAAAATTTTATTCCAATGAGAATTAGTCGATATAGGGACTTGGCAAACAAAGGTCTGTAGAAGTTATACCAGACCCCACGAGACTTTTGGCATGGAGCACTTACGCCAGAAAACGTAACTCCAATGAGATATGGAAAGCCTGTTTATATGCCCAGGCGACAAACAAATGACTAGTCATCCATTATGAACATCAACATCCTTGATTCTCCTATTAGGAATCTAAATGGACGAAAAATTTTGTTTTTATTGGTGGACAAAACTGAGCTGAATAATTTGTTTTATTCAAGTGTACGTACAGTCTCTTGTAAAAGTAATGTCCCTCGGATACCTACCACTGTAGCATAGGCAACCAACATCCCAGCCGCCTAGTCCAAGTTGGATTTGCGGGTGTGCGAGGTAGGTATCTAATGCGGTTCATTTTCAGCAGATATTCCCATTTAGCCAAACTAAATACTAGTTAGTAGAATAAAAGTGAATGCCATCGATTTATTAGCTCAAAGGATCTGCGCTGCATATCCTTGGCTTGGTGCAGTAAACATTTTTACATTTCTTACAATTGGTTTGGTGCGTTTTAAATTTGCAAATAGTTTAGCTAGAGACTATTAAGACAAAATAATGGCTTTTCACTTTAATTTTTTGAGTAGGTTTTCTTCTAACGAAATAAAGGTTTCTTGTTCTTTAATGACATTGAAATTCCAGTGTCATTAATAATTACTTGCGAGTAGGTCTCCTCATGGAATGCGATTAATTGCCCTACAAGTGCACTGTGCAACAATACCTTTCTTTTGTAACTAGCATCAGAAATTAAATGATATGCATTTGTGATACTTGGTCGTGGTTGATTTAATATCGAATTTAGTTTAGGAGAGCGTTTACGTTGCATATTTTTGAGTAGGTAGGCGTATTATAAGGATATTTAGTCCAGGTTATAGGTATAATATTTTTTGACAAAAAAATTAGTTTTCAGTTAAACCGGCTTTTTCATGCAGGTGAAATGATTAGAAATTAGGGAAAAATAAAACAGCTGAATTTTTCCGCGGATGCCATCCCGGGGTTTGAATGGAGTGGGAGGTGGTAGTTACAAAAGGAACGGCATTGTTGCGCTTCCAGTGCAGATAATCGCATTCCATTAGGAGGCCTGAGTAATTAATAATGAGACTTCAATTTCAATGTCAGTATAAAACGACAAAATCATCACATTTATTTTGTTAGAAGAAAATCTACTCGAAAAAATTAAAAGTAAAAGGTCATTATTTTAGCTAAACTATTTCCAAATTTAAAACGCACCAAACCAATTGAAAGAAATGTAAAAATTTCTATTGTATTAAACCAAGGATAGGTTAAAGCAGCGCAGATCTTTTGAGCTAATAAATCGATGCCATTCATTTTCATTCTACTAACTTATTTTTAGTTTGGCAAAGTGGGAATACCTGCTGAAAACGAACCACATTAGATACCTACCTACCTCCCACACCCGCAAATCCAACTTGGACTAGTCGGCTGGGATGTTGGTTGCCTATGCTACAGTGGTAGGAATCCGAGGGACATTACTTTTACAAGAGACTGTACATAATACTTTATTGGTTTAGAAACAAGTAGCTAAAATAATATATTATAATATCAAAAGTATTGCTTTGAGAATATTCATATGCAATGGCATATTGAAATACAAAAATGGTTTTTTCTTTTATACACCTGATGGCGGCTGCGATGCGAGTTATATCCTAAACAAAGCTCCTTATTTGCTTCTCTAATTTGCATCTACAATCTACAGAAATAATGAGATAATAATAAATGATAATTATTACTACTATACTTATTAGTATGTTGTATTTGGTGCTGCATCACAAGTATTGTGTATTATATGTGTCCTGTACCTTGTAAATTGCATACAGGACTCAGGAGTCATTTAATTTGTTGTACCTATTAGTGGTAATGATTAGCTGCACAGCTTATAAGAAAAATAAGGTAAGTACAATAAGGCTCACCAACCAATTCCGTTCCACAATATGGGAAGAACTGTGACCACAAGAAAGTGTTAAAAGCGTTTTTGTTAATTACGGGTAGGTACAATAATTTAAATTCCAAAATTCCTAACATGTCGTTTTGGCAGCTTGCCATCAGGGAAAACCATATGAATATAAAAATAAATTTATTTCCTATTTGCCTGTTGGAAGAAAGAGTGTTTGTAACGAAGATAAGAACAAGGACCCCAATACTAAGTTGTCACCTTATCAGAAGCACTGCCAGAGTGATCATCAGCAGTATGAATGTCTCGTTGTAGATTGCCAGCTGCAGAGCTAGTTTCAAAATCAGTCTTTAGGTTAAGTTTACTTAATAGCTCATTCAATTTTTCCGCCTTTCTTTCTTCATTCTTCTCTATGACCGCGCAAAGGTGCTCCGTTAACATCTCCTTCCTCTCCATTCTTTGATGCAAAGCAAGTTTGGCATCCAAATACTCCTTCTCGACTCGATAATATCGCTTTCTGCAAAAAAAAGCAATCGTTTTAAAGACGTAAAGGTGACAACACTTACTCTGCCTCCATGTAGTCTAAACTGGCAATTTCGATTTGGTGCCTCAATATTTTAACGTCGCCTGAAAGTAGCATATCCAACTTTTTGAACTCGCTGCGTATCTTTTCCAATTTTTGCGCCTCTTCTTTAGTCTGTTGCGTTCTAACAGCCAACGCTTTCGCCAACAGCTCCTTGCGCTTCTTATTTTGTTCCTCAATGAGTTTTTGGCGTTCTTGAAATTCGTTCAAGTCTAATTTTTTCTCTTGTAATTGCATAAAGTTGTTGGAAATTGGTATCTCCATTTCAGTATCCATTAGAGGTGGATCCACGGCATTATTCGGCGATTGTTCTTCGTTATCGCACTGCGATTCTTGGGGATCAGTGACCACTGTAGTGACATGTTCCGTTTCAGTATCTTTGGCACGTTCTGGTTCAGGACTAGGACATAGTTTAGCACCAACAGGTATTGGATTGACAGCTACAGGTTTTTTCGCTACCTCTGTCGTTTTGTGGTTTATAGATGTTGTGTGTTTCCTTAATGGGTTGTTGTTTAGTGATGCTTTTTTTAAACCTAAACATAAATGACGGGATGAAATAGAGTGGTAGGTATTTATTTAATTCATTAATTTTATTTATTTTAAACTCGCCCTCACAATCTATATTTTTTATAGTTTTATTCTTCAATATTTTGGGAGCATTATATTTATTTTTTAAGAATCAATCGAAAAAGTTAAATAACGGACCGTTAACCTCTTCCGTTTTAAGTAAGTGCTATCTAGGTATATGTACCTATTATGTACTTGTAAGTAGCACGTTTGGAATAGGAAACGTAGATGGAGTAATAATGTATCACAAGTTGCCGACCTCATCTACCCATCAAGATGTTAAACCGCGACCCTGTTTTGGTTTTCAGTTTGCAAAACACAAATATTTACTAAAGAAAGATCTTTTAAAAATCTCACTTTCCCTATATAATATATTCTGAGGGCCACGAATTACATTTCGTGATTTAGTACATCTAACATTGAGCTATGTGAATTTGCCTCGTTGAGTGTAAAACTGACTTGAGTTTTTATTTCCTGATTTACAAAACTTACCCAACTCCTGCTTTTGAATTTCCCCTCTACGTTTGCTGTTTAAATTTCTTATGTCTTCTTCGCTAAAGCCGGCAAACGAACCGGACATTTTATTGCACTGCAAAGTTTTAATTCACAAATTAAGTTTAAATTGTTTTCATTTACACATCACCGTTTTCATTTTTTACTTTTGCGCATATGAACACACGTGGTCACGGAGGAGGCGGTACTTTTTTCTTTGAAAATTCAAAATATCAAGGTTCAAACACTCGAGTTCCCCCACGAATATTGCATTGTTTTGCACCCATTCATCGTTCATAGATTCCCACAACAAGAATATAATAGTAGAAGGGGATTGCACCCATGATATTATCATGGCGATTAACGGACGAGGACGTGTACACATTTCCTGTTTATAAACTTGGATTTATTTATCCGATTTTTTCACCCATTTGTTTATTTGCATTCGCTTAACATTTGCGATTTTTATTTGGGTTCAAAAAGGCGAAAAAGGGGACAGTGACCCAAATAATATCCATAAAAAGTTATGAATTTGTCCCAAAAAAAATTTGTTCTTAAAAGGCTCTCTGGCTCAAGATGGCGGATACGCAATTTCCTGGGAGAATTTAAGGTATGGCATTGAATATAGTAGGTACATAGCGACCTATAATTACTTATTCAATGGTTATGCTTAGGGCACGGTTTTCTGGGACGCTGATGACGGGATTCTTTTAATTAAAAAGGTATATGCCAAAACGATCTGCAATAACGAGGGATGCCGACAAAGATGACACATTTAAACGCTTCACCCCAACATTTTGCTACATGACCCCTGCAGATGGTACAAATTGTGCAAGAAGTAATCAACGACTGCGATTTTAAGGAATTATATACAGGGTGACAATTTGAAAACTTACCACCCCCCCTATCTTAGTAAATAAACGAGATATTTAAAAAAAATCAAAATCCGTTTCGGTAATTCGGAGGGGGAATCACAATGACATAGTTGGCGACGCACCCCCTCAACCCCCTGCGCCCCAGCCAACCCAACTTTTAAATCTTAAATAGTGACCCCCCATGTGTGATACGTCGTTGGAAAGCTCTGAAAAAATGCTTTCCAACCATACCAAATAGCATTACATTTAGGTTAGTAATTATCGTGCAAATCAAAAAATAAACTAATATGATACATTTGAAATCTGTCGTATTTAAAAACCGGCGAACATAGACGAACTAAGACAGAGAATAATTCAAGAATGTCGAAATATTGCAAAACCAACATTTGAAAAGGTTCGACAAGAGTTTGAGAATAGATTATAACTGGCGATCAAAAATGAGTTGCTGTCGAGTCGGCTTTGGAAGTTCAAGTTAAATACGATTTTCCATGTTTATTTTTTGATTTGCACGATAATTACTAACCTAAATGTAATGCTATTTGGTATGGTTGGAAAGCATTTTTTCAGAGCTTTCCAACGACGTATCACACATGGGGGTCACTATTTAAGATTTAAAAGTTGGGGTGGCTGGGGCGCAGGGGGTTGGAGGGGGTGCGTCGCCAACTATGTCATTGTGATTCCCCCTCCGAATTACCGAAACGGATTTTGATTTTTTCAAATATCTCGTTTATTTACTAAGATATGGGGGGTGGTAAGTTTTCAAATTGTCACCCTGTATGTTACCGGCAAACTGCGAAATCCGGCATTTTGCAAAATGCCTAGGCATTTCGCGAAATGACGAATACAACAGGCAAAGTAAGAAACGGAGCTGCAGTTCGTACTTTGCCTGCCTCTCTATTTCGCGAAATGCCTATAAACATGCAGGCAAAGTGCGAAGGCTTCGTCATTTCCCACAGATTGCGCATACAGCGTTGCCATTGGATGGTAAACGACTCGACGATTGCGATTTAATTTAAGTACTCCATAAATATTCCGTTCGCGTTTAGACTGCATTTCTTCTATGGGTTTTCTGTTGAGTCACGCTTTGGATTTACTGTGGAGAATATATCAAATGGGGGAAGGTACTATAACGCGACGGTTTTACGTTTGGCACAGATGCACGCGCAATCTGTGGAAAATAACCAAGAATTCTCACTTTGCCTGAATGTTTAGGCATTTCGCGAAATCCCTAAAGAGAGGCAGGCGAAGTGCGAAGTCGAGTTCCATTTCTCACTTTGCCTGCTGCATTGGTCATTTCGCAAAATGCCTAGGGATTTTGCAAAATGCCGGATTTTGCAGTTTGCCGTTAACATATATAAGATCCATCTTCTACAGTCCCGGTCGCCCCCCCCCCCCATACTGTGGCCATCCCCCTTTTTGTTTTAATGAGGACTAGAAAAATGCTGTGGAGTCAGTTTGCAGAAATACCACCAGCATTTTATTAAAGGCATAACGTTATACAAACTTTGAAATATCATGTTAAAAGATCGTATGTGGAAAAAAAATGTACTTGCTCTCTAACCCCTCTTCTTTTCTGGCTAGGTGAAAACGAAGAAATTTTCCAACAATTCAATCCAAAGAAATATTTTTTGAAATTTCGTTATTCAATACCTACTTAAATTTAGTTGGCGTTTTCAGTTTTAAAACAGCCGTAATTTAGCCACAAGTGTCACATTTTGACACACAGGCGCACTATTTAGTGCGCTCATTGGACAAATACACGTCTAGTGCGCCAAAGACAGTCAATTTGCAACTTGTCCCATAAATAGCTAAATTACATAAAATATCATTCAGTGTAATCTAGACTTCATTTTTGTAGGCAACCCATTTGCAATGTGTTTGTTTACATAATTATATTGATTGCTAAAAAATGTATTTCACTCCGTTAACATGTGGGCGAAAGTTGTCTTTATGTGGGATCTTGTACTATAACAAATATAAGGCAAAATTTTCTCAAAACCAACAACAAACGCATTATGCATGTAACTCAAACTATCGTTATATAACTCTCGCCAGGAAAGATTGCCGGTCACAGCACACCTTGTGTCGATTTACAATCTTTAAGATGCGAGCGACTTCCGGAATAGGATCGTGCCAATGTTGAACGAAAAGTCTTTTTGTTCAACATTAACACGATACTATCCCGGAAGCAAATTTCCGTTCCCTATACAAGATGGTGATCGGTGGCACAAATTCGTATAGGATATGGAAGTCAGGGCCGTAGTCAGAGGCTCCGAGTGAGGGGGGTGTATGCAATAAAAAATGCCGACTTCAATAAAAATTCAAAATAATACACCGTACAACATTAAACGACGGCATTTTAACGCTGCCCATTGTGACCCTATTTTTTCCAAATGTATACTGTCTGCTATATCTTTTTCTGATTACTTAGAACCAATAAGGCAGTTAGCCAATTATCCGCCATAGAGGAACGCAAATGATTTTTAATTAAACTATATAATAAATACCAAAGTAATAATAATTATTATTATTTTATTATTATTATACAGAGTGCTCTTTTTTTGCGGCTGTCATGGATATGGATTCTATTTTATTTCTATTTGCACGAAAACCGAGTCGAAGTGGGACGTTTAGAAGACCTTTACAGAGGAATTTGATAAATATGGCCAGAATGGCATAGAACTTTTTTTTTGCGTTAGAGTCGCTAAATTTCATCTTATGAACTTTCATCAGAGTTATTTTTCTCTGACGTGCCATAGCTTTTAATTTACTACTTTGATTTTACCAAAATACCTTATTATTCAATTTTCACGACAGTGCTTTAGAAATTGCAGTCAAACTCATTTGCGGATTTGCTTTGGTAGTTTACATTTATAATCAAGATAATTAATAAAAATGTCGTTTTAAATGTAGTAAAGCGTTCTTTTGGCAAGATTTTATTATATATTATTATTAAGTTAAAAGTAGTAATCTATCCAAAACCGATTTTTGTCTAAAAGACACTCTCGTGACAATTGAATAATTAAGTGTTATATTTAAAATGTAATATAGAAATCCATAGTAAATTCTTTATTAAAAAAATCTAAAAATTCAATGTGACCCCTACGTTCAAAACAAATTCAAAAAATAATGTCATACTCTAAACCGCCCATTTCTGAAGTATAATAAATAAATAAATAGGTATACTTGTTTTTTTTAAATACAGAATTATTAAAACGCACAATTCAGTTCTTTTTAATTATTGAAACTAAAAGAGGTATCCCACAAGTGGTTTCAATGATTGATTCGCATTTTAAATTTAACTTTACCCCAATTTGACCATTAGTTTTCAACATAAGAGATCCCATCGTCAGGCGCTAAAAATGACCACCCTGTATACTTATTTACCATCTATCCCTATCGCAACTTTTAAACCCATGCAAACATAACGGCTAGAAAAATTTGCGGAACATTTTTAAGCGACCTTTAACCATGAAAGGTAATGGATCTACATCCTCGTAATATCAATGAGAGTAACAACCAATATTTCTTCATTTTGCTACAAAACGGTTTTCCGGCTTACCGGCGTATTTTACGCAATTTTTTTCCAATATTAATTTAATTAATTTCATTTGAATAGCGATTTGCCGAGTGCCGACTAACTGAAGTTTTGCCGACGATGGTCACGCGTTAGGGGGGGTGTGACACCCCCCCATACCCCCCCGTCAATCCGGCCCTGACCTGCCCGTAAGCCCTATAATAAAATGAATTTTGTAAAAATCGACACACAATCTCGTTATTAGTACCAAGTTGAAATATACTCAGTGACATGGAAATTGCAACACCAAGAAGGAGTAGGAATTTTTTGACCAAACTTGGCAGAAATGTTTAACTACTAAAAGGTAACAATTGATTAAAATTTCATTCATATGGATCAAGTGGTAATGGCTTATTTGACAGTTCTTTCATTTTTTTCTAATTTTATATGGTGTATGTTTTGCGAGATTTTGTTCAGTTCTTATTGTTTTCGCTTTTAATCATTTCTTTTGAGGCTGTGATCATGCCTAGAATACGCCAACGTGGAATTTACCGCGAATTAAGAGAAGTCGCCAGCTGTCGTATTGTTGGTTTGGACGAAAGTGGTTTTTCTGCCAGAAAAATTGCAAATCACCTTAACCGAAGCCAATCCACTATGATTCGCTGCAATCAGGCATGGATTTGGGAAGGTCAGGATCGTCGCAGAGTGGAAACGGAGGTAGGGAGGGCGAAAAAGAACAATTGAAGTGCAGGACCGCCATCTTGGACCTATGGCAACAAGAGACCAATTTTCTAGTACCAGGTCAATTGCCGATCAATGGTTAGCTAACGAAGGTCGCCCTGTAACACTTCGAACGGTTTACCACAGAATCAGACCTTGCGGCTTGCAATCCTATCGGCCACATCTTGTGTTTCCATTAAC